CAAGACCAAAGCCAGGTACCAGTTTAGTTCTGATCCAAGCTAGTTGTTTAAAGCTAAAATCACTCAGGCTAATGTGCACATATAATCAATGATACATATAATATTACAATAAGAATCATAATATATCTCATCCATAAATAGCAATGCTATCAATCTCATTCAAAATACAATGTTCAATAACACTATTTTAACCTTACTGTATTGTAAAAATCAGTACATATTCAGTCATCCAAAGTCATTATCAATATAGTATAAACAGTAACCAAAAACAACACCATAGAGTGACAAAGTCAATGTAAATGTACAGCTACATATGCCGTTTTTAGGACACTGACTAAACACCATAAAAACGGGAGCTTAGCCACTTCAACATACATTGGAAACAGTATTCTCACATGTTAATTGCATGTACATTAAATTCATTGTGGACATAGTCCAGAAACAGGCATTAACACTGTGGAAATAGAGGAAATAGAATGCTAATCGGCGCTAGCTAAGTGGCGCTAATGCTAACGGTAGCATAACAAGGGGGTCGGCCCGATGTTCCCCGGGTCCGATGTTCCCCGGGTCCGGTGTTCCCCGGGTCCGGTGTTCCCCGGGTCCGGTGTTCCCCGGGTCCGGTGTTCCCCGGGTCCGGTGTTCCCCGCCCCAAGGAACTCCGGACCCGGGGAACATCGGACCTTCCAAACGCCGGAGGGCCCGGTGTTCCCCGACTGCGGGCCTCGCTCATAGACATGTTATTGCTGCGCGCGGATAATGGAGCAACAAGCGGCTTTCGCTCATAACTAGTCTATAGGGCTTCTGAATACTTTATATTATAAGCCTAGTAGATCTCGCATTGTAGTAGCCAACTACATTTTTACAACCTACCACCTCAGAATAAGAACGTGTTGCAGATAAGAAAAGTAAAATTAGCTCCACCACCTTTTCTTTTTGGAAACATATCTCCCTCCGTTCATCCTTGCAACAGTATCGGCGCCAGGTTTGCAATTTTGGGTAGGCCTGCAGATTAGTAAGTAGGCCAAATTCGCTTGCAAACTACAAGGGCTAACTGGAATTGGGGTTTCAAAGAATATGGTTCAAACGCACACACGCACGCACACGCACTCACGCGCGCACATACACACAAGCTCATTTATGAAACTTGCGTTGAAAAAGGTGTACATTTTGGGTGTATATTCCATTTACGCAATTTGCCAAAATGTTTTGATACATTAGAAAAATCCTTCTTGAATTGTAGAAGTGAATAAATATAGATTGATTGAATGAATGAATGAATTCATATATATTATGCAGCGGTGGCTCTCATGAATGAAGCGTCTGCAGCGTCTTGGACGCATTGAAGCGCTGTACACTTCAGAGAGCGTTTGCGGTCCAGATTTCACAAAGAAACTCTAGAGCCAAAACTTCTGCACATGTGGCGCAACCTCTCACGGCACTCGCTGCGCACTCTGGACAGGGCAGTGAGACGTTTGAGTGAGCAATACCATCGATGCGTTATTGGGGTGTGTGGCTGTGTGAGGCTTACACAAATCTAATGAAATAACACATTGCTTTAGATGTGAATGAGGAATACAGATAGCCGTGTGTAATTACGCAGCGCAGAGCCTGCCACAGCAATAGATGGGTCACACATCCCTGTTGCGTAAATTGTATTTATATAGAGCCTTTGACTGTCCAGGATCACAAAGCGCTTCACATTTTAAAAACATACAGATCAAAATAATACACACACAAGTCAGATTTAATAGAGGGTCCTCATCATGAGCTGTGATTTATTCGAAGTTTGCGTGTTTCCATTAGACTTTTTCTGATGCGCAAATTCAAATTTTGAAACATGATCCTCAATGAAAACACAGCATATAATTTTGCCATGAGGGAATATGTTTATTGTTGTACATATCTTGAATTTCATGCGTGTTGTGCCGAAGGTTGAGTTCAGCGTATAGATTTACACCACCTCCAGACCTGGCGTTTATTTTTTGCGTATTGTACGCTCACGTCCAGATAGATAAATGCGGAAAAGTGTAATATTTTGCGTACGCCTCATTTACCCTGATTTGGCCGTACGCAGGTTTCATACATGAGGCCCACAGTGAGGCCCACAGTGAGGCCCACAGTGAGGCCCACAGTGAGGCCCACAGTGAGGCCCACAGTGTGTCTCACACAGGCCTAGAGTTTACCTCATCAGTGCGAGCCTGGCCTGACCGCGCTCTCCTCCTCTGGGACCTACGGGCCCGGGCCTCTGGCTCCTCTACCTCACAAAGTTCACGCTGAACTTTCTTAAAATTAAAATGAAAAAGGCTGCTCTGTTGTGAATGCTTTAAGAGCGTAGTCAATCTTTAAGACGAGGAATAGCTGGTTGTTCTCGCTTCACGCTGTGTGATATTGGACAAAATTGTTCAGCCAATAAACAGGACTATATTTGAAGCAACGTAGGAACGTGATGACGCTCAGGGGGTTATATTATTATTATAATTATTATTATTATTCCCCCCACTGTAGGAGCCAATACACTTTTCAATATTTTTGAATTCTGAGCGTTTCCAATTGTATTTAAAAATGGGAAACCTAATTAAACAATCATGAATTGAGCTTTTCGGATCTTATTTTACACTGATTCCTTTGATCATTTTTTTTCTTAAAGTTCAAGTTGTAAAAATGCTATGTTTGAATTGGTTATTTACATTTTAACTGTGAGTGACACGTAAGGCGGGACAACAATGCACAATGACGCACGCATTCTGAACAGAATAATATGTATTAATATCTCTAAAACTAAAAGAGCATATTCAAGTTTTACAACAAAAACGACGTCATATGCGTGTCCATTATGCGTAAAAGCACAGTGCCCTCAGCAAAACCACGTATTTGTAAAAACTATAGGCTAACAGATGTAGTAGCTCTAGTTTCAATCGTCCTCATTTTATTCAGTCAGACTTGTCAAATATAGATGCCCATGGGAGAGTGAGCAAGGGGAGATAACATGCCCATAACATGCCCAAAAATATCCTGCATAGACTCAAGCTGCGATCAGCTGAAATATGAGCACACAAAGAGCGAGAGGCAAAAAGAAAAGTAAATAGGCTTAGGCTAGTTAGTATTTTTTCTCTCACAAAAGTTGGCACGGATCATATGCCATCTTTCGTGGAGGAGGAAACATCCGACATCAAAGGGCGCACGCGGGGAACAGCGGGACTAGTCTCGTTGTTGAAGTCCCGATGTTCCCCCGCTTCTATTGGCGGGGGAACATCGGGACTTTTTAATACGCGAAGTACCGATGTTCCCCGGGTCCGATGTTCCCCCGCCTATAGAAGTGGGGGAACATCGGACCCGGGGAACATCGGTACGCACCCCATAACAAGACTGCACTCACCAGTTCGCGATGAATCCCTACTTAAAGCCCATATGTCAAATTAGACCACTCTTTTCAGTAAGCATAGAGAACGGTACTGTAATTGTGATTCCAGGTAAAAAATTATTTTATCGGCGCTAATTAGGAAGATACGAGACGTTTTGTGAGAAAAATCTACTTCCGCATTCTTAAACGCGCCTCAAGGTGGTGACGTCACTGTAGGGGACGCGCTGTTCACTGTACTTTATCATAGCCTACTGGACATGATGGATCACGATACAGCAGAATTTATGGTCCCCGAAAATAATTTTGATGGACCCCAACCATATAATTTTGAGCCAGTAAACAATAATGAAAGAGAAAGAGAAAGGCCAAGAATAAGAAATGATGGGCACAGGAGAGAAATTGAGCGTTGGTGTGAGGAGAATGAATGGAGAACAGGGCAGGTGTCTTGGTAAGCTAAGCTAAATACAAATTTGGTAACTATATTATGCAACTATTTTTACTTCAATTATAAATCCGTTATGAATTCTACATGTAGTTATTTATTGTCATAGCATCATAAAAGGATAGGAAGTAAGTGGCAATAAGTACATTTATCTTATGACAGTATGAATCCAAGTCCGTTTACTTAACATTAATTTGTAAGATTGGTGTTCATTTTACTGAATTATTTTACTTTCTCTCATAAATTAATAAGCTGGTTTGAGTTCAAATAAGATAGGCCATTTCGTTGACTCAGTTTTGTACCAGTCTAAATGTCATTGGCAATGGCTTTTGTTTTATGCACAGTAATAGTTGAGCCATGAGTCGATGACTGTTAAGATCAATTGTTGACTGGTTTGGGTGGTCATTTGATAATTGTCTTTACGCTTTCACACAAGATTAGCCCACTCTTAGTTCCAAGTGTGTAGTTGGCGCATGACTTGGTGACACAATTACGCATGAAGTTGTTAAAGTACACACTGCCCCTCACTATTGCCATTTGTGACAGGTGTTTGTGTGGAATATGCCAGCCAATGGCCAGTGCTGAGGAGAGCATGTGTTGCAGGGAGGTTGGTGCCTTCTGGGCCCTGGTGGAGGGCATCAATCCACCAACAACCATTCCTTGCTTAACCTTACATCCTGGTTTTGAGGGATGCTGCCTAAACCCATATGTGCTTCAGATAGCATACCTTACCTTCAGGCAGGAGTTTGGTCCTCTTAGAGCCATAAGACACGAGTAAGCTTTGTTGCATCATACTGTATATTCATTAAACTGAATTGGTAATGGTAAAATATCTGTCTCCAGGCAATTCCGTTACACCGCTTATCGCCAGGTCGTCCGCTGGGCATATGGCATTCTGGGCAGACACATTAGGAAGCCTATTCCGTCCTGTGTGGTCTCAATCATAAGAGAGTATTTTCCAGAGGGAGGGGAGTACAAAGGCTTTCAGTGGCCAAATTTGGAGGACAATCAATAAATATTAAATAATGAATGATAATGAATGTGTCATGTATTATTTTATTTACAAAGATACAAAGAAAGTAACATCCAAAATAATTATATAATTAATTAATAATAGAGCACAGAGTCAGAGAGGAGCGGCCGCCAGAGCAGACAGGCCCCTGCCCTAAACCCCAACGCGACCCTGTGTCGCTCTCGTCACCTGGCATTAAACCTTGAATGCCGTGCAAGGTACTGATGAACCGCCTCATCCTTGGAAACCTTTTGGAAGGATGCCGTAAGGGGTTGAGGTGCACATGACGCGAGGGCTGCGCTCTTCCCCTTCAACATAGATGGAGACCTGCTGTAGGTTTGTTGGAGGGACACCATGAGAGCTACAGCATAGTCTATTAGAAGGAAAATGTTGATATTATACTTTTAAAACCTTATGAATACTATTCTATTAAGTAAAAGGCACAAACCGTATGAAGGACTCTCCTTGATCGGACGGATTACCCAATCGCCTTTGCGGAATCTGGGGTACCTTACAGCGAAACTGACCTCACCAGCAATGGTCCGATGTAACTTCCGACTGCTGTTGTGATTGAAGTGAAGGGCAGCCAAAAGAAGCCTAAAAAGGAGAGTAGCAGAGCAAAATGCAGTGTTATACAAATAGTATGAATAAAGCAATATTTTTTTCTTTGGGTGTTAGATTTATTCAGTAGTTATAGTAGTAGTAGAAAATGTATTCCCCTTGAGGAAATACATTCACAGTGAGTAAAAAAAATACACAAAGACAACAAACAGGTCCAAACATTAACATGCAAAGAACAGGCCTAAACTTAAACCACACCACATCAACCTCAATATTTAAATTATGTTTTGATTCTTATCTACGTTCTTAAATAGCCTTTTTAGTCAAAAGAATATTTACATTGTATTAAATATACTACTTCAACATAACTTGACCGAAAAGGTATAAAAGATATGCTTATATTTTTTAAGTCTTTCTTATTCAGATTTAGAGTTACTTCACAAACCAATCCAAATAAATGTAATCAGGTGTGGTCTGCCAGTGTTTTTGGCAGCCCTCTTCGTCTTTGTTTTTCGGAAGCTTGAATGCTTTTAGTTTTAGTCACATTTTAGTCAGATGAAAAATAGAAAAGTCGTAGTCAGTTTCATTATAAAAAAGTAACAATTTCGATACAATTTGGAAAATGGGATAAATTCTAATAAATCTACTGGCCTTGTATAGCTTTTTGACAAACAGATTACACCACAATAGGCCCTGGCAGAATTGTCATTGTGAACAGGACTTTTCCCCAAACGCCCGCTCTCCTTGTCCTCTGATCATTGCTTTGAGATTTTTTTTTAACCAACAGCACTGTGTGCACATTTGTTCATCAACATGCTTTCTGCGTGTACACGCTACAGTATTTAAAACTGTCCTAACGATAAAGTCCCTGTGACATTGCTGTCAGACATGCTCCATGCAGGACATACTGTACATGGATAGTAGAGGAGCACAAGGAGAGAGGGAGAGAGGGAGAGAAGGGAAGAGGTGCAGCAGCCTGCAGAGTGTGAGTCCACGTGAGCTGACGGGGCCGCTCTGTGTGACGTGTAGCAATGCGTTCTCATGCTCGTAAACTTTATGCATTATGTTATCGTCTTAAAGGCGTGAACAAATTGATATCATTATTGTCTGTTGACAAAAACAACACTGTGGTCTGCACTAAAAAAAGTATTTTGTAAAAAATACAAAACACAACATGTACCTGCTATGCATGCCAAGATAGGAGAATCCTGTGTGTTTGGGAGCAAAGTGGAGAATCAGCGAATGAAAGGCCTCCAGCGAAAATGTTTGATGTTGTGGGGATAGTTGCCGGATGTCCTTCAAAAATGTATTCCTCGTGGCCAGACTCTCCAGCTTAATTGCTGCCATGGATCCTGGAATGAAGAATTTAATTCAGCTTTACATATTCAAATGAAGAGCATCCTCCATACAATTCATTTCGTAAATGGTCCAATCTGTCGTCCTTTACTACATCGAATAACCAAAGCAAGACTATTACATTTACAATCTTTACTTTTCTTTGTTTTACTGTCAATTGTGCTTTCCTGTCCCAAGATCAGGGCACCCCCCACCCACTGCCCAATACCTCCCAGGTGCATCTTATTGGCCTTTTCCGTAGTCTGCCTTTCAACACTCTGGCCATTCCTCTCTTTACCACCAGATGACTGCGAATAATAATATTCTTTGCTCTATTTACAATCATCAGAGCAGTCTTCTGCCACATATGTTTTTCATAACATGTTAAATAAGATTGGGGCAAGTAATCTTAATTTTTGTTATATATTCCTTCTATGCTTTCTCACCTGGTTCCAGCCACTGTTTGTTTCTGGCCTCTCCTTCCAGGTTAGGATGAGCACAGACAGGAAACCACAAGCTCTCATGGCTGTGAATGTCCTGTACATGGTTGACAAGGCTTGCCCATTTCGCTTCCATTACATCTGGATTGCCATCAGGTGTCGATGCGGCAGTCCAGTATAGATGGTTTATGATGGCAGATTTCCAAAGATTCAGTTCCTCACAATGCCGCTCCTTTGTGGCTGAATCCAAAGCCTTCTTCAGGCCTGTAGTTACACAAATACAAAACTATATCATAAAGAATTGAGAGAATACTTGATACTTTGTTTGCATGAACTTTACACCGTCTTATTTTCTGTTTTATTTTATTGCCTTAATGGTTAGTGCAGCTCTGTGAGGCAACTCCAGTTGTAATATTGGGCTATAGAAAACCATTGATTGACAGAATGTGTGAGGATAGGAATGAGTCAGTGTTGGAAATCTTGCCTTTACTAACGTGCCAAATGTCAAAAAAGTGCTTGGTCCCACGTGGACATAGCTTCTCACGCACCCATTTGGCAACCTACAAGTGACACAAAATGTACACACAATATAATTAAACATAATAAAATCTATGCTTATGCCTCATCCATTATTCGTCCATACCTGACGATTTCGATCTGTTATAAGTGTAGAGACGTGCAGTTTCTGCTCCGTAAGAAAGGTGACGCTACGTCTCAGTCCCTCAAGCTCGCACCAATTGCTATTCGGAACCTCTGAGCTCTTTGACAGCATTTTAAAGAAACACACACAATTATTATCCCATACACCAACCTTTGACTAAAAATCAGGTTAATGAGCTTCCTCTCAAATAAACCTACTTGCACAAGTTGAAGATCTAACACTTTGTTCAGCCTCTCTTCAATAACAGTGTAGGTGCCATATTTTGCACAGTGTCCCGGAGAGTCAGATCTGTAAAAAAAAAAGATCTTATGTTAAAAAATAAAAACGCTGTGCAAGTCTAACTTTTTACAGTAAAAAAAATAAAAAATATTTACACTTTTTATATGTACCTGCAGTCACCAGACAGAATAAGTCCACCATTTATCTCCTTGAGCTGCTCCAGGACACTAACTTGTTCAGACCTCCAGGCATCTACAATACAGGGGATTGTATAGAGTTGCTGGTGTCTGAAGTATGTCCTTGCGCTTATACACTGGAGCCCAAATAAATGTAACATTCTAAGTGTCTGCGTAGGCATACAGCCGGAGAAATGAATGGCCCCACTAAGCAGCAAATTGCAGGCTGGCATGTTTCTGTGCATCTTCGGTTGGTTCTGCCATTTTCGCTCAAAGCCACATAGTGAGCAACACTAAGAAAAATAAATGGTATTTTTACTAAACACATCTGAATGCAGTGACATTGTGCTCTAAAAGTTATAAGAATGAAAGTATTCTTTAGTGTAATGAAAGCTTTCATATATTATGCTTTACAACCTACAAATATCCTCTTGCCTGCTTTATTTTTATGAACGTCCCCTCTTGCCGCTGTATTACACCTGGAGCTTCTTCAAAACAAGCTGGCAGTTGGTGAATAGGGACATCAACTGGTCTTTGCAGACAATAAATTTGTCAGCAGACCTACCAAGAGAAAGATCATTGTCTATTAATTGTATATTAATTTTCGACTGTCTAAGCCTGAACCAAATTTTATCTTACTTGGAGTCTCTGTCATCTCCTCTTGTTGTGCTTCTTCAGAGTCCTCCATTTCAGACATCTCACTTTCAATGTCTTCATCATCCTCTATGCACCAAGAACTATCACACTGTTGGTTGAAGTCTGACGATTGGTCATCGGTGTCATCCAAAATCCGCTTCAGCGGTGTTGATGTTAGAGGGTTGTAGTCTTCTGTTTGAGTACCCACACTTGTTATTCTTGGTTGAACCTGAACAGCTAAAATAAAGAGGCAGAGAAATTGAATAATAATATGTGTATTGCCCAAATGAATTTATTTGAGCAAGAGAAAGGCACAGAACATGACGTGTACGAGATCACATAAAAAGAGTGCCAAGTTGCTTTAGTTACCTTGAATCTATGGTCATATATAACAATTAGTCATTGGTGAGTATTACCTGATGATTGGTGTGATGGTGTAACGTTACACTGCAAGATCCGATCTACAGTGTGCGGCAGAGGATCAAAAGAAGTATGGGCCTCTTGCTCCTGGTCAGGAGCAGTGTGTGGTCCAGATGCAGCTTCACTTACTGCCGGATTATTGTCTCTCAGAATCTGAAACACAAGGAATTTTGTGAACCTAAGCAAAATTTAAATGGCTATATTTTCTTGCTGTGTGATACTTTTTACTAAATATTTGCATTATAAGATGACAGACCAGCAAGCTATAGGCTCATTGACTATACTGGATGCACATTTTGGCTGGCAACTGTGACAATGCCAAAGGCAAGGTAGACCGAGCACTTTTTTACAAACCAAAACGCCACGGAGTGCTACATAAATATTGTAGACCAAGTAACTCGCTCATTCTCCACGTAATATGACATTTTTCATCCACCAGCATATAAAACTGATTACTTTGAAATTCAATGCAGCATGTTAACTGATATAGTATTGCCTGCTCACAGAACCTGAGATAATATCGTGTGAAAGGGTAGAAGACACACAAACCAAGCAACCAATGTTGTAATAGCTTATGGGAGCTGGCCGGGCTGCGAGATGCATGTAACCATGAATGTCTAATTAAACGGTTGTGCCATAATGCCATTGCACACTGGTCAGTCGACCTCTCAAAAGTGTGTCCTTGCAAAAGTTGAGAGCAAAAAAAAAAAGGATCCAATTAAAAAAGTGATAACACAAAGATAACCGTGGCCAACACTGCTGGTCGCTCTGTAAACAGCTGGTTGTTGCGCACAAAAGGTTGTCTTGCCAAAAAATAAAGGTCGGGCATTATAAATATGACTCTTTAGAGTAGCGGGTTTTAAAAACAGACTTAATTTAAGACATAACCCCGATTCATATTCACAAGACAACCATGACTAAACAATTTGCTAATCAAAACGCACTTGCTAGCCGCTAATAGGCCTATAGCAACTACGATCAACACTATAAAAATGAAGAAAGCATAAGATATGGTGACTGTACAGATCACTTATCGAGCCAAGAGGTAAAAGCAGTACTTACTGTAGAGAGCCAACGCTTATCAGCTGCAGATGTGCTTCTTCTCTGATTAGCAGGACTAGCAACATTAGCGCCGTTAGCAGACAGACAGGCTGCATGAAGAGAGGGAACTGCGCCACCAACCAGCTTCACTTGGCTGGAGGTTTTGAAGCCCATCTCCATTGCCATCCGATCACTGCTCACATAATCCTCCTGTTTGAAGTGTGCCCCACAAATCATTGTATTTCTGGTCACAGACGCCGAAGTAAAGTCTTTCCTCTTCGCCTGAACAAAGCGCACCCAGGCACGGAAGGTAGCGGCACTTTTTTTCTTGTGAGGAAAAAAATGCATTCGATGACCAGAATTACTACTGTTAGAACAGCCCCCGCATGCACAGTAATTCACCATTTTGGGGGAAAAGAGGCTAAATTAATTTTACAATAAAATCTTTCGATTCTTGGCGGGCAGCAACCGGCAACCGAGAGCAAAATCAGCAAAGATGTTCAGTAAGTAACGCGCCAAGTCCAATGGCCAAGTCCTACAAGCCCCACAGGTACGTCACGTGCACGTGACTAACAACTGCGGAAGTCTATCCACTGAAGGTTACATTTTCGCATATTTTGCTTTACAAACACCGTTTATGGTACTTTAAAAAATATTTCACTGTTACTCGGGCAATAAGAAAATGGATTAAACACGAATTTCATATTATTTTTAATCTGACATATGCACTTTAAGACCTTTCCCACTCGGTTTGGGACACGGTAGGAGACTCCTATAAGTTAGCGCATAAACCAGGTAAGTGTCACAAAAAATGGAACAAGTTAAACAGAAGAAAATCGAGTGTTTAACAGACCTGTAGCACGCCTCTGATGTTGCTTCCCCCACAGCCACCCCAGACTGATGCGGGTCGCCATATTAGAATGCGTGATACGTCCTACTACGTCCCGTGACGTGATGACGTCACACAAAGAAACCGCAGTGATTGGCTAACAGATATATATAGCTATAGTGAATGGGGAGATAATATAAAAAAGCTTGGGCAGACACACGCAGGTTTTACCACCTGGGTTACACACCGCTGACGTCTCAACGGGTGGCGCACTGGATATCTCGGGCGATTCGCTTGGCTTACCAAGCCCAAGAGTTGTGTAACCCGTGTCACATGACCACTTCCCGTTTTAATTTGGAACAACTTCCCTTAAGTACCGCAACAACATATCCAGTTGGACAGATGCTCCTCCAGCGTTGTCTACACTGCCGGCTTCTTGCTGAAACAACCCTTTTGGATTCTGGATTCAATCATGCAACCATCACCCTGATTCTTGCACCTAATCTTCCACTCAACGGTGAGTCAAGACACCCCTGCGTTTAAAAGTCACCGTTGTTTCTCTGGAACCACGAACTGAACCCTAGCTGAAAGCTAATGCTAACAATAGCATATAAACAAGACGGGAAGCCGTCCTACAAGCGGCTATTTAAAGACCTTATGACGGGTTTGATTTATTTAGAAATACAGTTTTAATACCATTTTATATTAGAAGAGAACTACTAAAGGTTTCAAAATCAGTTGTTGTTTTTTTTGTCTGATCCCCCCAAATCGAAATAACCCCATAGCAACGCCCTTAGAAACGAAAAAACTTCACAGCCCTTGGTGACGTCAGAACGGGTACGTTTCAACGCTGTAAGTTGTTTACAATTTGGTATTTGTTCTTTTTTCGCGGATATTCAAGATGACAAGGCAGTGTACAGCGAGTCTAAGATAACTACTAGAAAGCAACATTTTGTTGTCACTGAGATAGTCCAGTGGTTGTGTCGATGGATTGCCAAACCAGATACTTGGGTTCAAATCCCACCTAGGACACTTTTTCACACTCAAAACGGCAATTTATGTGTAGTGAGCAATTGTCACCTGTAGAGGGCAGTATTGTGTTGGGCCTCAGTGGAGAGAAGAGAGAAAAGGCAGTCCTGTGGCATAGATCCATGGTTTTCAATGCATGGGCGTAACCCGCTATGACGTCACACACAGGTTAGAGCATAGACAACTTAAATTCATGAAAAACACGTTCTTTTTATAAAATATAGGATTTTTTTGGCCGGAATCTCTTTCAAATTGACATTGTCATGCAATTTTGATATCCACTATTTTTTTTAAAAAAACTCGTCATAAGGTCTTTAAGGTTATACGCCGCTCTCTTTTTGTTAAGCCTCCAGCCGAACTCCTTGCCATGTGCACTACTACCAAAGTAATGCGCTAGTTCATGTTTAATCGGCTGTTTGAAAGACTTTAGTTACTTTTGCACTAGTAGCCCATACGGCAATAGCTAATTTGAATCCCTGAACACTACCCTGTTGCGCAACAATCCCTATTGAACACTGTATATTTTGATTAATGTCATAAAGAGCTCTGTGACGGATTGATTTATACTTTGAAGTGCACTTTACCTTGAATAATTGAGACTATTGAATTTATGTGTTTTTGCACTGTGAATATTGACATGTTTATGTTCTTATCATTATGAACTAATGGTAGTATGATGAGATATGACCTAATGTTTATTTCTCATATATTAGCAGCAATGGTCTATTTCTGTGCTAATATTATTTTAATTTAATTCTAAAGCTAATTAATGGGTTTTACGAGTCCTGACCCTGTTTCAGGTCAGGTTTTTTTTAAAACAGACATAGGCCACGCGATGTTGTAATTTCACTTGTAAGTCTAAACTATAATGACCTTCGCCTGTGTAAACGGTGTGGGATAACTTTTAAGTGGCCCATGGCTATGTAGCGTTAGCCGTTTAGCTACCAGACGCCATTATCATGCTGCTGATTCTCCGGTGGATACACCGGTGTCGAATAGATATGAATGTAAAAGCCACATGTTTATGCTTGCTACGATGCAGGCAGTTTGTCAAGTTGTGATTCGTAAGTAGTTACAGTGATTTGTAGGTGGCAGTTTAGCCATGCGTGCAATAATATGGTACGAGTTCAGCAAGCGGAGCGTTAGTGGTATGTTTACTACTGTAAATGCCGAAGGACTGTCATAAATGAAAATGTTTGCGTCCGAATATAACGGAAGGGTTAGATTTATGTTCAATTGTAATGGTTGCATACTGCTTGTAGTATAGTAATTCAAATTTTACGCGGGAGGCTAACGTGCATGTGCGTTAATGCATCTATCCATCGTGCTGGTATTATCTAAAATGTAGTGTGCAGAAATGTATTAAATACAATATTAAATATTAATATGCTAATAAAGTCGAGGTTGTTAACACGTGTTCTGCTTTTAATTATCAGGTCGAGAGAACAACAACAATGAGCACAAAAAAAAATAAGTAATAATGATGTCCACATGCTGTTAATAAATGCATGTTTGTAGCCATGGATTTATTTATTGTAGGTAAAGGTAAATGTTTAGTGAGCACAGGAACTGAACCTTAGTATTTGTAAAATCTTGGCTACAGTCCTGGCTAATAATTTTTCAACATGTATTTTACCTTTTTCTTGCAGAGGCAAACTTTGAACAATGCCATGGCGGTGGAGTGAAGAATGATGACTGAATGGTTTTCTAAAGTCCACAAGCCAGTGCTCTTTTCCCCTGGCTGACAACAGTCATCAAAAGCAGAAGAATCAGACAGAGCATGCATCAAACATGCATGCAAATCTGTCGCCTTTCATGGAAATTCACCATTTTGATGTGGGAAAATATAATTCACATGACTCATCTAAATTCTGCAATATAAAAACAGGAGGGCATAAACTGCACTGGTTGAGCCACGGACAGTAGGCCAATACACTAAATTGCATGTTTACCTTTATTGCCGCTTGGATTCATGAAGTAGTGATGGGCAGCGGGCTAATGCATCAGCCTACGCTACAAAGTTGCATTGACGCAGCGCACCTGTGCATGAGACATGAGCACCGAATCTAATGTAGGCTTTCCAATGATAATTAGTATTGGACAATAGCGGCATGAAATGTGAGTGCAAGCCAACCTATAAAGGTAACGGATAGCTATAATTTACCGTTTGGTGGAGGCTTAACTGACCAGGTAGGTGCTCATGTCCCCGTGCGTGCTCTGCGCTCGCTTTTATGAGCAATCGCGGTCAGCGAGGCGTGTGGTCATTGTGTGCTTTTGATGTGATTTATGCTCATCAGAGATGTGAACTTGGCAAATTTACTAAAACTGAACCAAAGTCTACACCGTTGTGGGCTCACAACTATTCAACTATCCTTTTACACCATGTTTGTGTTTGCATGTCGGTTATAAAATAATGGATACACACACTAGATGCTGGTCAAATTTGTTAAAGTCCTTTGTCTTAATATGGGCCAGTACTATGGTCAGTACCTGGTACTTGCTGGTATACCTTACTTGTGTTACCTGGTACTTATGTTAAAGTCCTTTGTAAGTTATTACTGGGCCAGTAAGTACCTATGGTAAATACCTGGTACTTACTGGTAATACCTGGTACTTGTGGTAATCACTGGTACTTATGTTAAAGTACCTGTACTTGCTGGTAAGTACCGGGTACTGCTGGTAAGTACCTGGTACTTGCTGGTAAGTACCTGGTACTTGCTGGTAAGTACCTGGTACTTGCTGGTAAGTACCTGGTACTTGCCTGGTAAGTACCTGGTACTTGCCTGGTAAGTACCTGGTACTTGCCTGGTAAGTACCTGGTACTTGCCTGGTAAGTACCTGGTACTTGCTGGTAAGTACCTGGTACTTGCCTGGTAAGTACCTGGTACTTGCCTGGTAAGTACCTGGTACTTGCTGGTAAGTACCTGGTACTTGCCTGGTAAGTACCTGGTACTTGCCTGGTAAGTACCTGGTACTTGCCTGGTAAGTACCTGGTACTTGCCTGGTAAGTACCTGGTAATGTGTAATTCTTGGTACTTGGGTTGGGTACCTAGTTCTTGCAGTGTTTCCCTTGTCCTTGAAACTTGTTTTGAAATATGCATTAAATGTATTTATACTGTCCTTTCTGTGCTACTTATTCCATATTAATAAAGACGTTTGTTTTACATAATGTTGTTTTATGTTTTATAGTCAAACAATCCTACAAATGACCTCTGTATGTATGTATGTAGAAGTACCACATTTACTACATAGGAATAATACTGTAGTGTCCTTGAATTACTAAGTTACAGCTGTATCTAGAATTATCACAATAAGTACCTAGAAGTACCACTGTAAGTACCACAATAAGTACCTCTAAGTACCACAATAAGTACCACTG